GAAGACTTTCACCTCCTGGGATTCAACATTGACCTTCCGCAACGCACAATCACCTACATCCAACCCAACCAACCCTGGAAAATCAGGGATCCCACCAGCGCCGGTAGCCAGCGCTTGGCTCTCTCCGGCTTAGCTTCACGCCTACACGCAATATACACATACAGCTTTCCACCGACCACAGCAACGGCAGCAGCTATACGTCCAAAAAGGACACGACTCCACCGCACGCCGGCGCTTTCTACGAAAAAACAGTTGCCACCGGCTTTCTCACGCACGTGCGCCGACATCGGCCACGTGTGTGTGTATGTGTCAAACCCTGTCCCTAAGGGCCTTACTCTACTTTTCCATGTTTCAATGCAGGGGGATCAGGCTTCCAGTGATTAACCTGATCCAAGGAAGCTGGATCACTGGAAGGGAAGTGGTTGAGGACGCTCAACCATGTACCTGCGCTTTCAACTGTTGCCCACGCTGTCTACTCCTTTGGTTTGATGCATGGTTTTTCATGTGATCCTTCCCCAAAACAGGTTTCCCACCGCATTGCAGCTGCTGATCGCCGCTTCCACCTGCGCTCGTTGTGAAACCATGTTAAACAATACTTTTCTGCGGACTCATGCGCCTTTCCGTTCCCTCACCTTCTTTCTCAGCTTGGGAACTGAGTTAACAGAAAACCAATGTCAGAGTGTGTATGACGCACGACAATCGAACTGAGTGGCGCAACGACGCACCGCGAACCAAGCCGGCTTTTGGTTTCACGAGCCCACCCTGCCATGGGCGAGGTAAAAACAGGTTCAAACCTAATGCACAGTGTGCGTTTCACAGTAAAAATTTCTTAACTTCGAAGTTTGCAGCAGCAGCGCAAATCTTTTAAGAAATACTGCGTTGTTGCTGGTTTGTTTTGATGGGCGCTATGCGTAGGGGTTGGGCAAGGGTGAAATCTGGCACTAGTTGCCGGTATGATGAGCCAGTCAGAGGTCAACAAAGTGCACGCTTGTATGTTTACAAGTTTACATTTATATAATCTATATATATATATTTACAATATAACGTCTATTGGTCTCACCGATATGTGTGAATATTTTGGCAAGATTGTACTTGCTCCTCTTGCTGTAGGAACCGACTTGGAACAATGAGGGGCAGGGCCCCAGAAGTGTCAGGCCGGAGTCGGGAGGGCCCGTCAGACAAAGACGTTTGGAAGCCTGAGCTGCTTCTCCTTTTGATGTTTTTGTGGGCTGTAGCTATTAGGAAGCTACTCTACTAAACTTAAAAAACTACTTCGCAGGACATAGGAAAGCTCAGGGTTCCTAGTTAAGGGCGGGAGGAGAGTTTCCTTGAAGAAACCCTTGCACTATTCATTTATATAGTTACTAGACATTTGGGGAAACTTAACTTGGTAAGGGACACTGGAGGCCTAGTTCAGATCGATGCCTGGAAGATTCTGCGCAGGCGCGCGCAGATGGAACATCCCATAGACTGGGAGTCGCCAGAACAACTGCAAAAGGAGAGGGTGTTACCAGAGTTTCAATATGTTTTGTATCAGCTTGCAAAGATTGGAAACTCAGCGAATGCACCAGGGCAACACTTTGCACGACACTTTGCACCTTGTAAGGGCGTCCAAGTAGCTGCAACTATGGCTGTTTGAATTGAGGAGTGGACCCCGAACCTTGGCAGATTGGCGAAACCGCCATGGCAAAATGCGCGTGAAACAAGCTCAGCGTCCGTGGATCACGTTTGAGCCTCATGGAAATGCAATACACCAGAGGGCTGAGGGCATATACACACTCGAGGTTTAGTACGTACGAAAGGGGAAGCCACCACTCAAAGAAATTCAGGCGACAGTGGAGTCCAACGTCCTGACACGTACGAGCCGTTACGTCGCAAGTACGAAAGTTGTCAAAGCTATCAGTTCTCAAGTCCATCGCTAGTAGGTTGGAGGCCGTCGCTATTAGGTGGGAGGCCATCGCTTCTAGGTTTGCAGACCTGTAGCCTGAAGACCTCTACGAGTGGAGACTGGCCAAACATTCACAACTTCTGTCGCAGGTACGCCAAGTTGATCAGACTCGGTATCCCTTGATTGTGGTAGTTTCGTTGAGTGCCGCATTCCCCTGCTTTTGAAGAGAATAAGAAAAGGGAAGAGAAAGAACAAGGCAGGCAACAGCAAGAGCATCAATACAAGGAGTCCACAGACAATTTCCGATTCCATTGTGTGCACACACTCGGGATATGTCGTACGGAAATGACGTGCGGTTTGCCCTGGATTGCCCTGGCTTGCAAACGCCAGCCTAAGCAAAAACCAAAGAGGCCAAGTACATGTAAGTTAAGATATGTAAGACGGTCTGATCATGGGCAGTGAGAAAGGATGAGATGACGAGACACGAAGGCAGGAAAGACATGAAAAGAAAGAGGAACAGAAAGTACATGAAAGTACGCGAGGGAAAAATGGGGAACAAACTGAAGGGGCTGGAAAAATGAAGCCAAACCTCATTGCAACGACCTAGACGCATGTGCACCTGAGGTAGGGACAGACCCCAATGATTCTTGAGTGAACTACGCCTGCTGTACTGGCGTTCAGCCTACTCAAAAAGTCGTTCCAAGTCAGCAAGTCTTACCTTACCTCTGCTCTAAGGCTCCTTCGTCGGCTGCGGACTGGGCGATGAGTAAGACGATCTGATCATGTAAGAGCACATGTAAGACGATCTGATCATGGTCAGTGAGTCTCAAATCCTCAAAAGTTCTAAAATTAATTACCAAAGGTTCCAAAGGCGACGAAGTCGACGACTATTGCATTAGCCCTTGACAGCAGCAAAGCCCCTTCATCCTGAAACAGCCTCCAAGACTCTAGGTTACAAAACATCACAACTTGCAGGTACACCAGGCTGATCAGACCTGGGTTCCACCATCACGCATGGTTTCGTTGGCATGCGTTTGCATGATGGCCGCGCGCCCCCTGCACTAAGGAAACCGACAGGCTCCCTTTGATTCCAAGGGCTTCTCACACACATATTGCGGTGGCTCCTCAAATTGTTGGGGACAGGGCTTATTTATTTCTCGAAAGTTCGGCTGTGGGGAGGTTCCGCTCAACCGCTACAGACCGACACGAGCGGACCAGGTCGAGACGAATCGGGACCAGCCCATGGAGAGAAGCGAAGTGCTTCAGCTCAGAGACCTGCCCAGATTTGGAAATATTAATCATGGAAAGTTGGGTTTTATAAAATGAAAGCGTATGAAAACGATTCCAGCACCGGAACTGGCGGTTCCATGATTTGTTCCGTCGCCCTACAAGGGCCCACTCCGGTTCGGGGCCATCTTCAGGATTTTTTTTCGCTAGCGCTCTCTGGGTGCGTGCGGTGAGACCCTTGGGACATAACTCGACCAGGTAGAGCTCTTGGACCGAGAGCTGGTGGCCTTGTTGGTTTGAACCGAGGCCGTTTGGGCAGCCGGTGCGGCTAAGAAGAGAGTGAGACGTTCGGAAGAACGCTATCAGAACCGGAAGCCTCCAAAACAATAGGACGGTCATAAAGCATCAATTTGCGAATAGATCAAATAGATAAATAGATATGTCAATGTATATATATATATATAAGAAGGAATGTTTTAGGAAAATGTGGTCAAACGAACCACGTTGGCAGCATCATTTGCCCCATGACTGTTTGCGTTGGGCAGGTGAGAAGTTGCCTTCCAAAACACAGGCACCGTGGAGTTTGGTGGTTGAATGTTGCTGCAAACAGTCACTTGCAGTGGATTGGCTTGCAGCCTTTAGGGCAGGTGCCCAAATGGTTTTGGACACAGTTAAGAGATGAATCTAGGAAATAGTGCGAGCGCTGCTTCAAAGAAACTCCCCCCAGGCGGAGAGGGGAGTTTCCTTAAAGAAGCACGAGCTATCCTGCGTCCTACCCAGGAGCTTACCTGCTTAAATACTTATACAGCATACAATTACAGAAAGTAGGCGTCCACTTAGTTACTGTAAGTAAGAGCGGGCAAGTATATTTACAAAAATGCAGTGAAGTCTCTTTTTCATAATCCAGGCTTAGCCCGCAAGAGGCAGAAGGCCCAAGTGACGGGAGCAGCTGGCCATTGAAGCATGAAAAGGAGCCTGCCATTGCTGAGACAAATTATTCAGAACTCCCTTCTGATGTTTTTAGGCCGCTATGCCTAATAGGTAGATTGAGTCAAATCTATGATAGTCTATGGTCTGATTTTTCTGTTGTAGAGTCGCTGCTTCCCGGCCGATTGGAAGTGGGATGTCCAGAAGTTTTTCAGCCTGCGTGTTTCTTTTGCTCTGGGGAAGCGTTGTATGTTCGTTAAATGTGGTTTGCCTGGCAATCAGTGCCTTGCAACCATATGTATCCATTTGTTGTCTTGTTGGGCACAGACCTTTGTTTCGGTTTGGAGTCCAGAAGACGTGGAGCAGCTTCAATGGCAGATGAAGGCCTTCCAGTTTGGAAGGTCCCAACTTGGTGGACATTCGAAGTAGGTTTGCTGCAGAAGAGTCGGCAATTTGAAAACATTGTGAAGGCCGTGTTGGGAAAATCAAGATGCCACGTTTGCTGTTTTCCGGAGACTGGCTGCAGCAAGTGAGTTTAATGTACCGGGGTTCTCTGACTTGTACAATGCCTGGATGCTTTTGTATGTCCCTCGTATTCTTGTTTTTGGTGGCGCTGATGGCATTAAACAACTCCATCCTGTTTAAAGACTGCCAAGAGATCTGAAATCAAGCAACAGTTTGGAGGACCAACCCTGAATGCTTTCAATTTTCAAGTGCTCAGCCAAAATTGACCTAAGTTGAGCCAGCACATGCATTGGCGGCACGAAAACGGAGCGAGTACCCCTGCTGCAGCTCATGGGGAACTACCCTTTCCATGCACGTGACAGTTTAACAGACCTGCCCTTGCCCAGTTTGGCAATATCTAGCCCCTTGTTTTGAGATATGTTGAGATATTTGAGCAGTAGAGCCAAGCAGTTTCGGGGCAAATCCATGAAGGCAAATGGTGTTGACACGCCAGGTGCCTCTCCCCACGTTGTTCACTTTGAGTTGGACCGTTCCAATATGGCCAGCAGGATGGATCGAGTGCCTTTGCTGCTCTTGTTTTTGGTGTGAAAACATGTGAACATTTGAGTATCTCAGCACAAATCCAGATGTTGGGGATACCCCCGATGGGTCTTCAAGTGATGAGATGTTCAATATGTCGCGAATCTTTCACAAGCTGGACATTCAGCGGAAAAACCTACAGTAATGCCTCAACGCCTAGAGCCTCTGGGATAAGCGCATACAACATTATACAGCCTACATATATCAAACTCTGGATCTGGCTTCGGGGCAGTTCCATCACTGAGGTACTTTCCGGTATGTCGGAAATTCGGGCTGGGAAGCTGGAACCGGAAGAGCCTGAGGACGCAAGCATAGAAGGTGTATGCTTGCACTCTTATTCAAGTTCGAAGCTTGTGTACTTGTTTTTTGGTTTGGACAATACATGATTGAACGTAGTATGAAGGAGCAATTTGCACCTTGTTTCTGGAGACATGAAAGCCCAAGCAAGCAGTGCCCAAACAAAGTTCGTACAGTAGGCGGCGTGAGTTGATCAGTGTTACTTGCTTGTGTGAACGTCCAAGATGGTCTCAGGAAATACCCCAGGAGCAGGCTGAGATTGAGGTACAGGAGGTGCAGGCCGGGGCACATCCCGCTCACGTGGGCACGATACATGATGACACGAAGCTGTTTCACTCGGACACTCTTTGGAGTAGAAAATGCGAAGAGGGGGTACACTATGGGTAATTACCAGCCCAAGGATGCTACTAGTGGCAAAGAAGCTACTGCCTTGGAAGTTTCCAGGAAATAGAAAACCTTTCGCATGGTTGCAACTGTTCCGAGATTTCTAGGAAAACGACGCATTTACTGTTATTGCGACCGATCGGTGCAATCCACTCAGGCTGCGGGAGCAGGAGCCTATCTTAGCCGGTGCTGACAGCGCTTCAAGATGGTTTCCCGTTCAAGCTATATCAATTTGCAACTTGTCAGTGGCTCCTCAGGTGACAGTGACAAAACTCTGCAGGATGCAGGCTGCCCTTTCAGCGCAACATTGATGAGAAGGTTTAATGGCCAGTTGTCGAATCCGTGAAGTGCGGCTTGCAAAGATTGTCAATACCGTCTTTCGCTCTTTCACCTTTCAGCCTGCTTTCCATCGGGGGTACCGCATCCGTCTATCAGATTCTGCACAAATGCAATGTTCGCTGATACCTATGGCACTTAGACCTGATCCAAACACCCAAGTCCCCGCCGCCTTGGAGACGCAACACAAGCAAAGAAGTTGGCAGACGCGCCAAAGGCAGCTTGATCGATGCGGATTGATGCTTGTTGCGATGATTGGAAAACACTTCCAGCTGCAAACACGATGTTCATTTAGTATCTTTCTAGCTAGTAGGTTGGAGGCCATTGCTATAGGTTGGAGGCCATCGCTATTAGGTTGGAGGCCATCGCAATTAGGTTGGAGGCCATTGCTATTGGGTTGGAGGCCATCGCTATTAGGTTGGAGGCCATCGCTATCAGGTTGGAGGCCATCGCTATCAGGTTGGAGGCCATCGCTATTAGGTTGGAGGCCTCGCTATTGGGTTGGAGGCCATCGCTCTTAGGTTGGAGGCCTCGCTATTGATAATTTTTATATCGCCTACTCAAGTGAGTCACTTGACCTTTGCGCTGCGTAGTGTCCTGTATATGTTTGTTGCAAATTGTGGTTTTGAGCTGCTTTGTGTGGATAGTGCAGATATAATCAGATACATAGGCCTTTAGGCACACGGCACAGCAAGCTTCACTGTAGCCTGCAGCGCACGATGCAGGGTTGGACCCAGATTTGCCTCGCCAGGGAGTTGAAGAAGCGACCCGAAGAAAGAAAAGACGCACAGAACGAAGGAGACGGAAATAGGGACTAAGATGGGAAGACACCAGAGGGTAAGATGCGAAAGACGCCAGGGCGAGCAGTTTCTTGATGTCGAAGAGATGTGAAATTAGGATTCACGAACGTGAGGAGAGTGGTGCCCTCATCGACATCAAAGTGAGTGGTATCCTGTGAGATGGCTTCAAAAAGAGAGGCGGAAGGTCACCATTGCTACTTATTGAAACCTAACCTAGAAGCAATAGCCTCTAACCTAACAATTAGCGATGGCCTCCAATCCTTTTGTAAGCTGGCATCTAAAAGAATGCGCAAGGGCTTGAACGCACACAGACGAATTAGGTTTCGTCTCAAGATTTATGAGAAACAAGAAGCTACTAGTAACAAGTGCATCGCTTCTAGTAACAAGTGCCTTACTAGTAGTAACAAGAAGCTACTAGAATGCTGCTGAATTGTTGCATGCCTGGTATCGCCGTATCAATTGCCGGCTCAAGTTCTCAAGGCCAGTGGGACTTTGCTTCAGTTTAAGGCTCCTGGAAGTGGTGATGGCGGCTCCCGGGGGCTACTACATTCGGAATGCGGATGGCACAACATCAGGCCCCTTCTATGACGCCCAGCCAGCTGCGATGTACGTTCCGCAGCCAGCTTCTGTGCCACACACAGCGCCTGGCGCCTATGTGACGCCGGGAATGAATGTCACCACTTTGCCTGCCACACAGGCACCCTTTGTTCCCACTTCAATTGCCGGAGGCACGGCATACTTTGCCACATCAGTCCAAGCTGCGTGGGACAATCACTTTGATGCCTTTGGAAAGCAGGACTTGGACAAGATTTTGTTAGATTATGATGAGACCTCGATTGCCAAGTTGTACAACACCGTGGATGGCTCCAAGAAGGAGTTTGCTGGTCTTCAAGGGATTCGCGATATGTTCACTGATCTTTTCAAGGACCTTTCCGACCTCAAGACCCTGGAAGCTCCCGTGATCGAAGTCGACGAGCCAGGCAAGACAGTATTCTTGGTGTGGAAATGCCCGGGCTGCGGTTATTCCACAGCCACTGACACGTTTGTTTTCGGGCCCGATTTCAAAGTCAAGCGCCAGAATATTGTGGTCGCACACTCCCCAGTACAGACCAAAGCAAAGACAGAAAAGAAGGGCATGTGCGCATAAATGTGCGCTTGAGTGTCCTTGCTTATCCTTGGTTGATATCGTTCCCCTTTTTAGATGTTTCAGCTAAGTGCTGAGAGCCCTACTCAAAGCCGGGCAGGGCGGAGAAACCAGATGCAGTGAAGTGGCATGGAACAGTTTTGTGCGAAGAGCGCGAGAGGTATCGGGCAGCCACTGAGGATTTACAAAACAGCGTGAAAACAGCGTGGAATCCGTTTGTGCAGAATATAGTATTAGTATATAATATATAATTGTGTACACGACAGTGGATGCAGTGAGCACGCTCATGCTGTGTTTAGCCTGAAGGTGGCTATGTTTTTCCATGCAAGTTGGCTTTTCTCAAGCAAAGTAGATTCTGTGTAAATCGCAAGTCCAACAAATAGTCATTTGCCTGAACAAACTGGGAAGCCTGTGAAGCTGAAAGAGGGACCTAGGTGTTGACCAGTCTTTTTGGTCGTAACTTAGAGGACAGAAGAGCTCATGATGAATGGTTCTGTGTTCTCAGCCACCTCTCTCTTGCCAACATGCCACAACCTGCAAGGCGCATTTGCTTTCTGTTAAATCAGTTTCCAAAAAATACTATAAGACTATAAGTGAATCCGATACAGATGTTGTGTGTCCGGTACGTGCTTCGTGCTCAATCTTCCAGCATGTATCAATCAAATGTGCTGTTGGCCTTTCTGACAATCCTAACAAGTGCTCAACAGTTATGTAGATATATATGTAAGATGTATAATGTTGGCTACTACTTCAGCAAAACATGTGGAGATGTACATGGATATGATCACACCACAAAGAAGAATAAGGTACCACAACTTATAGTCTACAGCGGCGTGTTTCCAAGAAATGTGTCGCTTTGCCGCAGGGAAAGCGCTGCTGCATCACTCGTTGGCAGTCTTTATAGGCCGCCGAGCTGCATCTCTGGGCCATGGGAAGATGATTAGGATAATGCACATTTTCCAAAGATTACACTCCAGACTTCACACTTCCTTGGGCAAATCTCGCTCGTGTTTGGCTTGCTGCATTCCCAGGGAGATCTACTTGGTCACAGTCAAAAACGCTTGTTGTGCTCACGAGAGCTTCATTGTCTCGGCACAGGTTGCAGCATTTGGCCCGAGCTTTTCCCAGTAGATTTTCCTTCCTAGCGTGGTCTTAGAGCCAAGATGCAAAGATCTTCCAACATGGCCTTGGCTGGTGCTGCTGTTGGTGGGCTTGCATTGCTGAATGCGGCCTCTGATGCCTTCGTGGCAGCACCCGCAACTGGCACCCAGCCTTCGAGGAACCCCAGCCACAGTGCAGGCACAGACTGCATCCTCTCCTGGTGCTATGCCTGTCCTTGCCTGTGGTGGTGCAGTGGCGGCTGCAGCAGTTGCATCGCAGCGAGCTGGCCGTCATTCACGCACATCAACCTTACCTACAAGTGTGGTCCCAGTCAAGGAGAGCCGTGTTACTCGACAGGCATTGGACCAGTCCAGCCGCTATGCAGACTTGTCCCTGGACGAGGACACCTTGATCAGGAACGGCAAGCATGTTTTGGTAGCTTACATCATGAAGCCCAAGGCCGGCTACGACTACTTGGCAACCGCTGCTCACTTTGCTGCTGAGTCCTCCACTGGTACCAACGTGAACGTGTGCACCACTGATGACTTCACCAAGTCCGTGGATGCCCTGGTATACTACATTGATCCCGACAACGAGGAGATGAAGATTGCGTATCCAAATCTGTTGTTCGACTGCAACATCACCGATGGCCGCGCCATGATGTGCTCCTTCTTGACCTTGGCGATCGGAAACAACCAGGGCATGGGTGATGTCAAGTACGGCAAGATTTATGATTTTTACTTGCCTCCAGCCTTCTTGAGGCTCTACGATGGACCTTCCGTGAATGTGGAAGACATGTGGCGCATTCTTGGCCGTGGCACGACCAACGGTGGTTTGGTGGTTGGCACCATCATCGGGGTCAGGAAAAATAGATGGCGCAAAGGAAAATGAGTTGACTGGTAGTGCGTTGCTTGCATGCTCGGAATTGATGGCGCAACCCAAAGCATTGCGACCATCTACAGTACCCTTTTGATTTCCTACTGATTTCCTTTGATGCCTATTGATTTCCTGTAGAAACCTTTTGATTTCCTTCTGGTTCCTATTGGTTCCTTTTGATGTCCTTTTGATTTCCTTCTAATTTCCTTATGATTTCCTTTGGATTCCTATGGATTTCTGGTTGAGACCTTTTGATGTCCTGGTGATGCCTTCCATCTCCTACCCTGGCCTTTTCCTTCCCTGTCCATTTCCTGGTGCATCCACTCCCAACTCCATTGACCTATTTGAGAGGTACATTTGTGCGTTCATTCAGGATTGATGGCACAACCCACAGCATTCCTTTCCTTCCCTTTCCTTTCTACCCAAAGTCTTGGCAGAATCTTCAATCTTCGATCCAGGAGGTGCGCGTATCATAGCGTACCTTTCTCCATCTTCAATCCTCTAAGTAGTGGAGTCTTAATATTTCTCCATCCTCAATCCTCGAAGTACTGGAGTCTTGCTTGTTCTTCTCTCTTTCTATACTCATACACATGTATGTATGTATGTATTTTTTTTTCCTAGAGGTGTGCACGAGGCTCTTTGGCGAGTTTCAGGGCCTTTGGCCAGATGCTACCGTAGCAGTTGCCTCAGGTGGTCTTCTGCTGGTGGTAGTTGCCTCCTTTTTAGAAGTAGTCGACTTCAAGTTCGGCCTTCTCGTCAGCTGTTGCCAGGGGACTGGGGTTCATGGCAAGTGCAGACAGCCGTTGATTGAGGTCGTCATGCTCTTGGTCTTCTAAAGCACTTTGTTCCTGAGCATCTAAAGCGGTCTGAAAGCTGAGCCTCCTTGGT